CTGATGGATTTCATGGTAAAACATGAAGTGTTTGTGTTTGTGTCTGTGCGCTGCTGGATGTACTCAGTGGAATGGCAAAAAGAGAGGATTGCCACATGCACATATACTAATCTGGTTCTATAACAAAATCACATCAAACGAAATCGACGATGTAATATGCGCTGAAATACCCGATGCAGACGTCGATAAGCATTTGCATGAAGTTGTGACGAAAAATATGATACATGGACCTTGCAGTACACTGAATCCAAATTCATCATGCATGATAGACAGAAAATGCTCTAAACGATATCCTCAAGCATTAGTATCCAACACAGTTACAGGAAACGATAGATATCCTTTATACAGAAGAAGATCAGCAGAAGATGGCGATAAATTAGCAACCATACAAATGCGAAATGGTGACATTGAAGTAGATAACCGGTGGGTTGTTCCATATTCGCCTTTGCTATCAAAAACATACAAAGCACACATAAACGTGGAATACTGTAACTCAGTTAAATCGATCAAATACATTAGTAAGTACGTGAATAAAGGCAGCGACATGGCAGTTTTTGGCGTACAACCAGAAAGAAGTGATAGGAATGCGGTCATACATATCGATGAAATCGCACAGTATCAGGCTGGAAGATACATAAGCAGCAATGAAGCTGTATGGCGAATTCTTTCATTTCCCATACATGAACTAAGTCCAGCTGTTGTTTACTTAGCAGTATATCTAGAAAATGGACAACGCGTTTATTTCACAGCTGCAAATGTGCAACAAATAGCCCTTAATCCACGGCTGCAACGTTAACTGCTATCTTCACGTTATGTCAAAATGACGCGTTTGCGAAAACACTGCTGTATTCGGAAGTGCCTACGTATTACACATGGAATGCGAGTAGAAAATCATTTGAATGACGCAAACGAGGAGAGCGAGTCGACAGACAAGCTGGCATATTGGAAGAAACTATGATAGGCAGGCTGTACACCGTGCATCCCAATCAAGATGAATGCTTCTTTCTTTGCATGCTGTTGGTAAATGTGCCCCGTTCCATCGTCTTTCCAACAATTGAGAATTGTCAACGGCGTTACACATGCCACTTTCCGCAGTGCATGTCAAGCTCTGATTTTATTGGAGAACAACCGACACTGGATGTATGCATTAATGACGCGTGCAACACGTCACATCCAAATCAAATTCGTGCATTGTTTGCAATCATATTGACCACCTGCTCTCCTTCATCTTCCACAGAATTATGGGAGAAATATAAATCACACATGGCTGAAGATATTTTCCGTCGAATATGCAAGGAAAATTCAAATATGAACATGGATTTCACAGCAGAAATCTACAACGACGCGTTGATAATGATTGAAGATTTGTGCATTTATTTCGTCTGCTGGTGTTGATCGAGGAATTACTGGTAATGTTTGCCTGAAATCTCCTGCAAGCAATATTAATGCGTCCCCAAATGGTCTGATGTTTCCACGCAAATCTTGCAATGATCGATCAAGAGCCTCGAGCAATTTTTTGTGTGCCATTGTGCATTCATCCCAAACAATAAGTTTGCATTTCTGCAATACTTTTCCCATGCCGGATGCTTTGGGAATGTTGCACGTGGGAGTTTCAATGAATTGCATGTTCAATGGCAATTTCAAAGTGGAATGAGCAGTTCTTCCACCTGATAGCAATGTTGCAGCTATTCCGGACGATGCAAGAGCTAAGGCTATGTCATTTTGGGATCGAATTGCTGCCAGAATCAATCTAATTAGGAACGTTTTACCAGTTCCTCCTGGCGCATCTAAGAAGAAGATTTCTCCAACCCCGTTATTGACAATTTGCATTATTTGATCGTAAATGCCTTTTTGCTCAAGCGTTAGCTTACGAATATTTGATTGCACATATGACAAAAGATCACCCGTGTTGTAATTTTGTTCATGACGCAATTCTACATCGAACGAAGCAGCAGCAGATCGATTTGGTGATGGCATTCCCAATTGATTGAGAACTTTGTTCGAGATTTCTAAACTTGCCTGAAATACTCTACTTTGTGGCGACACGTAAAGACTTAATTTTAACCTACAAATATGCCTGTCCAGCTGCAAAACGATCGATCACCTGAGATATTCTCACATCAATTGCTGGAAATTGGGAACGGAAAAGTGCCGGTTGATCTGACCTCAGGACGAATTTCATTGCCTCATAACTTCTGCAATTTAGTGACGTCAAAAGAAGAATTGGTTGAAAAAGTATTTCCCAATATTCAAACCAATTATAAGAATCACGATTGGCTGAGTGAACGAGCTATTCTTGCGGCCAAGAACAAAAACGTCTACGAACTTAACAATATTATTCAGTCAAAGCGAGGCCGTCACATACAAGTCCGTCGACACTGTTGTGGAAGCAGATGAAGCGGTTAATTATCCAACAGAATTTTTGAATTCACTCGATCTGCCAGGGATGCCACCGCACGTACTGCAATTGAAAATCGGCGTGCCAATTATCATGTTGCGAAATATCAACCAGCCAAAGCTTTGCAACGGCACGCGGCTTGCAGTAAAAAAATTAATGAGCAGCGTAGCAGAAGCAACAATCTTGACAGAACCTTTCAAAGGTGAAGATGTCCTCATTCCTCGCATTCCTATGATTCCAACGGATATGCCATTTCAAGTTAAGAGATTGCAATTCCCAATTCGATTGGCATTTGCAATCACTATCAACAAAGCTCAGGGCCAATC